CTGGGTAGTTAGCGTCATGTGGATATTTTCTCCAGGTTGTGCTGGTGTGTTAGCAAGCATCGCTTCAGAGGTCCTGGGTAGTTAGCGTCATGTGGATATTTTCTCCAGGTTGTGCTGGCGTGTTAGCAAGCATCGCTTCAGAGGTCCTGGGTAGTTAGCGTCATGTGGGTATTTTCTCCACGTTGTGCTGGTGTGTTAGCAAGCATCGCTTCAGAGGTCATGGGTAGTTAGCGTCATGTGGGTATTTTCTCCAGGTTGTGCTGGCGTGTTAGCAAGCATCGCTTCAGAGGTCATGGGTAGTTAGCGTCATGTGGGTATTTTCTCCAGGTTGTGCTGTTGTGTTAGCAAGCATAGCTTCAGAGGTCCTGGGTAGTTAGCGTCATGTGGGTATTTTCTCCAGGTTGTGCTGTTGTGTTAGCAAGCATAGCTTCAGAGGTCCTGGGTAGTTAGCGTCATGTGGGTATTTTCTCCAGGTTGTGCTGGTGTGTTAGCAAGCATCGCTTCAGAGGTCATGGGTAGTTAGCGTCATGTGGGTATTTTCTCCAGGTTGTGCTGTTGTGTTAGCAAGCATAGCTTCAGAGGTCCTGGGTAGTTAGCGTCATGTGGATATTTTCTCCAGGTCGTGCTGGTGTGTTAGGAAACGAACAGGCAGATAGACTGGCTGGTTCTGCACCACTTGGTGGTGAATGGATTCATGACAAGCTAGATGTTGTGGGAGCGAGTGAACAGTGCGGAGGCACAGATAGATCATTCGGCCTGAGGAGAATGGCGCTGCGGGGAGGTACCATGTGATCTGGCAGACGATCTCAAGTGAAAGGCGAGACGGATGTACAATCAGACTAGAACCCTCGGAACTGGAATTCTTTGTTTGCTGCTGAAGATAGGGAACCCAGCAACTCACAGTGCGTTTATTGGTTACACTGGATTATAGGAGTTTCCCGAGTGCTATGACGTCAATTTTTTAATTTAATATTTTTTAACGAAAAAGATGACTTGTGCAATTAACTGGTTTAAAGTGAGGAAGAGTTGCGCAACGCCGTCGACCTCACTCTCTCGCCTGCGTCCCCCTGGATCCAGTAGCAAGACGTTGAAACAACCGGAAATGAAGTTAGGTGCAGTGGATGAACTGAGTTGCCCTAAGTGCTCCAGCCGTGCTCCTTACACGCTGCTAATTCTCGCCGTCAGGTCAGTAGAGCCATGACACACCTATCAAAAGCCAACAGGCCTATGAAACTGTGGGTTGGGGGGGGGGGGGGGTTAGCACCATCCATCTGAGGAACCAGGGTCCTTCCTTTACATGATGCTCTCCCCATTCTTCTATAGAAGAACATGTTTGTGGCCTATAACTTTCACCACCAACAAGCTTTTTAGTCCACGATGCACTAAATAAACTCAAACCCAACCATAACAACACAACTAAATCAGTGATTCTTCTTCTCTAGTTCTATTGTGCCTTTCAGCATCAGCTTTAGAAGAGGCCTAGGGTAGAATCCTGTTCCTCCCATGTGGGTTCCAGGGCCCATTGGGGGAAAGAAGGAGGGGGAGTAGAATACATTCACTACAGCCAAACAAGCATGTCGTAAGACTTGACCAATTTGTGCCATTTCCTTGGAAGTCAGAGTGCATCTACCTGAGAGGCGAGGAAACCAAGTCTGTATACAAATAAGCCAGATCTTAAAAACAAACATGCAGGCAAAACTCAGCTTCTGGAACAAGACTCAAGTCAAGAAGTGGATGAACAACCAGAACTTTCCACTGGAGTTTACAGCTGGTGAATGCGAAGAAGAAGAAGAATCCTATTGCACACCCAAACAAGAACAGATGTTAGATGTAAAATTTCCCAGAAAAAAAAAAAACAACCAGTGTCAACAAAATAGCTTTCAAAGCTTGTAATGAAAGACATGTTACATGTGTGTACACCCTGAGTGTGACATCATTTAGTCTGCCTTCACGTTTTCCACAGTGTGTGTTGTTAAGCTGAGTTTCAAGAATCAAGATCACAGAACTCCGGACATTCCCATAAGTGCTCCATCCCTATCTCCAGCGACCAGCAGAGTTCCAACTATGATGGTACCAGTAGCACTCTGACTGTACATCTGTCCTGTCTTTCTTCTAAGTGTGGAGTGTCAACCAGATCCCCTGGTCACTCACTGTTGCACTTACAGTGTGTCCGGTTAGCTTAACCCAGTGGTTCTTAACCTGTGGGTTGGGACCTCTTTTGAAGGGAGTCGAAAGACCATTTCAAGGGGATAGCCTAAGACCAACAGAAAAAATATTCACTGAAGTTATGAAGTAGCAAATTTGGGGGTCACTACAACACGAGGAACTGTATTAAAGGGTCGCAGCATTAGTACAGCTGAGAGCAACTGGCTTAACCTCTGGTTTGCTAATAGACCCTGTGTTTGTCTAAAAAAGTGTGTCACCAACATGAAGAGTCTGGAAAGCTCTGATTTAGACATATATATCTCCTGGGGAAGACTGAGCACTCATGGATGTGTACCTAGCTACAGGGATGCTGCTTCTGTAAACCAACTGCCTTATATCAAGTGTTCATGGCCTGCCTGGTTACAGAGTGTCTTCCATTTGTTTTTGAGTACCGAGCAACTCAGGGTGCATTTACTGGTTACACTTTACATCATCATTATCACTGGTTACACTTTACAACATCTTCACCACTATCTTTACTGGTTAAACTTTACATCATCATCATCACTATCTTTACTGGTTACACTTTACAAAACCATCATAAATATCTTTAGTGGTTACACTTTACATCATCATCTTCACTATCTTTACTGGTTACACTTTACAAAACCATCATAAATATCTTTAATGGTTACACTTTACATCATCATCTTCACTATCTTTACTGGTTACACTTTACATCATCATCATCACTATCTTTACTGGTTACACTTTACAAAACCATCATAAATATCTTTAGTAGTTACACTTTACATCATCATCATCACTATCTTTACTGGTTACACTTTACATCATCATCATCACTATCTTTACTGGTTACACTTTACAAAACCATCATAAATATCTTTAGTAGTTACACTTTACATCATCATCATCACTATCTTTACTGGTTACACTTTACATCATCATCATCACTATCTTTACTGGTTACACTTTACATCCTCATCTTCACTATCTTTACTAGTTACGCTTTACAACATGATCCTCACTATCTTTTTGTACCATTATATGTCTCATTTCAGTGCCTGATTGGTGATTCTCTACTCATTTACTCCCAGGTTTGGTAATTCTCTGCTCATTTCTTTTCAGGACGTGTCCAGTATAGCATGATCTTCTTTGACTTGCACAGTGTCACACAAAGCCTGAACTCCATAGCTCTGGTGATAATCCCAGAAGATGTGCATAAAAATGCACATGTGAACTGAACAGTGCAGCCGCGAAATGAACCCATGACTTTCAGAGCGTGAGGCAAATGGCTTGACCACCTGGCCATAGAGACCCCCCGCTTTTCTAGCTGGTACATTTATCCGTTCTATCCTTACTAGTGATTGTCGAGGATTATCATCGCAGCACTCCGGACAGATCCACAGGTGCTCCAGTTTCATCCCCAAAAGGGTAAAAATGACTGAAGACATCTATTCTGTGCTGATTAATCAAACATCTTGTGCCTTTGGTGAAATGCCACATTTCTTGCAGCCTCAGGCTGCATCCCCATGTCCATCAGCCTACTTTTACCTATTCCTCTTCGTGGTAAGTACTGCAGCACTGATAACACAGCTGCTGTCCTGTACCAGACCAGCCATAACAGCCGCAGTGTATTCAAGACAACCTGCACGTTCGTTGCCTCGCACACATGTATCACCTGGCATAAAGATGAAGTTTAGGTCAGCCATTCGTAAAGTGCTTAGTTTAAACCATGATAATGCCCTTGTTACAGCCACAGTTCCAATGTAAGGCTGCTAGTTGTAACAGTATGTCTACTGTAACTCAGTCTGTTCTACAGTGGTATTTGAACTCATCCAGAGCTAGACATGTCTCACAAAAAATAACAAATGCCCAGGATATAGTGAGTTAAGGCAATGCCTGTCAGGGACTCAAATAGTTATGCAACTGTCACATATAAAGTGTTTGAGTGGTTTGGCTATAGAAAATGCTTCACACACAATGATGCTGCTTCTACTGAATCAACGGTTTCATATAAAGTGTTAATGTGACGGGCTGGCTATGGAAAGTATCCCGGCTGTTTTTGTTTACAAAATTTTTATTACAAAGTTTTGCTGCAGTGGGCCAGCAAAAGAAAGTGTCCCGGCTGCGTCTGTTAACAAACTGTCTCACACAAATGTTCCCTGGCAACAGAAAGTGTCCACAGTGGGCTGGCTACAGAAAGTGCCCCACAGTTTCTGTTAACAATCAACAAACTGTTTCACAGTGGGCCAGCTAAAGAAAGTGTCCCGGCTGCGTCTGTTAACAAACTGTCTCTCAGAAAGTGTTCCTGCAGTGGGCTGGCAACATAAAGTGTCTTGGCTGTTTCTGTTAAAGTGTCTGACATAAAGTGTTTCCACAGTTGGTTGGCTACAGAAAGAGTCCCAGCTGTTACTGCTAACAAACTATCTCTTACCAATTGCTTCCGCAATCGGCTGTCTATAGAAAGTGTCTTGGCTGTTTCTGTTAAAGTGTCTGACATAAAGTGTTTCCACAGTTGGTTGGCTACAGAAAGAGTCCCAGCTGTTACTGCTAACAAACTATCTCTTACCAATTTGCTTCCGCAATGAGCTATCTATAGAAAGTGTCTTGGCTGTTTCTGTTAACTTAGTGTCTTACATAAAGTGTTCCAATGGACTTGCCACAAAAGTGATAGACCTTTCAAATTATCTTCAAAGCCTCCAAGTAGTGGAGTTGCCGCCCTTATTATGAAATAATAATATACCAAAAAAAAACCCTTATGTGTGACCAAAAAAAAAAATAGCCCAGCCTTAACCTTATAATCCTGGAAGAGCATTTAAGATACTAAATAATTATTTGCCATGGCCGCCAGTTTCAAATATTTTTTCTGAAGATAGCTTACTCTTCTGCTGACTCAAAATAGGGGTGGCCAAAAGTCTAAAGGGACCTTGCTGCTCAGCATAAACAGAAGACTGGCCAATCTGTACTGGCCTTTGATATGCTGAACTGTTATTGTGCCAATTTCCGTCATGTCCAGAAATGAAAGAACTACTTTCAAAATGAATTTCTGAATTGAGAGAAGAGTAAGTGTGAGTCTCAGATGTACCATTTCTTCTATTCAAGGTGTCGAGTCCAACAGGGCAATAAGGAGGAATATGGGGTGAACACAATGGCAGCATTGGCTGATTTTGCTCCGATACTGTGGACGATGCATTCCTATTTTTTCGAACATATGGCTTAACCGTCACAGAATTATCAGTATCCATTGCATCGGTCATTTGATGAAAAGCATTGCCTGTTTGGCTTCTTGGTACTGCTGAAGAGTTATAAGATGTGCCTGTTAGGCTTCTTGATACTGCTGAAGAGGTACCATGTGATAATGAAGACATTTCTGTATCTTGATGGTAGCAAAACTCTGCATTCTGTGGAACAACGAGCGGAAAAACACTACCCAAGTCAGTAGCAGTAGCTGTCAACTTGTCAACACTCTGGCCATGGCTGCTGTTTGTGAGTATGTCACTGTTGCTTGTTACAGTTGCGGTTCTCCTTGGCAACTTAGGAAACAAATACGATGACTGAGGCAATGGAACTGGACCCTTATCTGAATCTCCTAAGAGTGTAGATGATGATGATGAATGTGAGTTGACTCCTCTTTTTTGTCGTTTCATAAACTGATGGCTGTAATGAAAGAAACAAATATAATTTGTGTTTAATAAAATAACTGTGGTCATAAAAATAAGCAGAATTTTGGTTGTAAGAAAAGGTGAAAAATCTGTTCAGAGATTCATAATATTAATATTTGGCCTGCAAGTTCTAATAAGCAGCATAAAATCTGGCACAAAGAATCAGTCTTCTCTTTCTCCTTTTCCCCCACTCAGGACCTCTTGTAGGTAATACAAAGAAACTAGCAAGAAAACTTGAGTTATGAGTTATCTTCAGAACATTCTGGACACATCCATAGGTGCTCAGATTAGCCGCTCAACATATTCATCAGCGTCGCACGTTTAATAGTTCCTGTCTTATGCTGGCTGACAAGACTGTGTGCGTCCGGTGTGCTTCTCATGCAGGGCTGTGCCAATCTTTACTCCCAATTCTTGAATATTAGGAAAATGTTTATGAAAATAGCTATCAAAAACCACAGAACTTACCCAGACTTTGTTCTTCTTCCATGATTCCACACACCACCAAAGTCAGGCAGCCATGATCCTGTCTCCCCTGACTTGTGGTCAAATTTAGCTCCAACACGACAGGCTGGCAACTGCCTTTTTTGTTCAAGTTTTTCTACCATGAAAGAAAAGTATCGCTAAATAATGTGAAAAACAAGGTGTGGGGCGTTTTGGCGTCTAGGAAAAGGGTCGGTTTACCTGTTCACACATATCTTCACGAGTGCTCTATAAGAGTGGATTTTGTGTGTGTGTCAAACTGTACACTGTAATTATGGAAATGAGAACCACTGTGGTGTAGTGACTAGACACTCGCCTGCGGATCGGAAGGTCATAGGTTCAGGTCCTGACAGAGGCGGACTTGTTTTCTTCTTTCAAAAATGATCTTGGCTCCGGGGTTGAACCAGCCTTTAGTGGGTACTAGGTTCAAGTCCTGGGAAGTAAAAAAGTAGCCGGCGTGATTCTGACAACCACCCCCCCCCCCCCACCCAGTGCTGACTGGTCCATAAAATACAGGTTTAACCAGGGTCCCATTGTGGGGAAAACATGTGTAGACCTACTGCCTCCTTAACAAGCATGTCATAAGAATCGACTAACTGGGGGCTTTCTTCGAAGTCAAGAGTGCATTCGCCTGAGAGGCAAGGAACCAACAGTTTGCATACAAATAAGCAAGACCCTGTAAAATGGAGGCAGGAACCCGCACTGGGATCCGAGGAGAATGTCCTGATATCAACTGCCACAGAGAGCCATACTGAAGAATATAATGAACATAGGGAAAATGAAAGGCCCAGAATACGACAGAAATGAAGATCAGCTTATACAACACCTTAGAAAGAGCATGCAGAAAATCCTTACATCCTTCCAGGAGCATATAGATGACCCTTACATCCCTCCAATAGCAAACAAGATCCTTACATCTTTCCAAGAGCAACAAAAAAAGAAGATCCTTACATCACTCCAAGAACAAAGAAGATCCTTACACCCCTCCAAGAGCAAAAAGAAGATCCTTACATCCCCCCAAGAACAAACAGAAGATCCTTACATCACTCCAAAAACAAACAGAAGATCCTTACATCACTCCAAGAACAAACAGAAGATCCTTACATCACTCCAAGAACAAACAAAAGATCCTTACATCACTCCAAGAACAAACAGAAGATCCTTACATCCCCACCCCCCCCTCATTTCAATGCAGTAACTGGAAGAGTAAATGGTAAGAATCTATATCACAGCATTCCCAGCAGCCAGCAAAGAGTTTTAATTCCAAAGGTGCAAGTAACAGTTTGATAATTTGTCTGTTTTGTCTTTCCTCTAGTAACTGGAGACAGAGAAATAAGAAGAAGCAGAAGAAAGAATATACAGCATTTGTCTGTAGAATCAAATCTCGGGGGAGGGGGAGAGAACAGACACATATTTTCAAATGTTACAAACAGTTGATAATCTTACTGTGCTTCTCTAGATCTTCCAATGTAGGACCAACAACATAAGATGAGGGTGTGGTATCCTGGCCAGGCTGCATCCAGGGAGGTACAGCATTAGTGTAAATATTTCCAGCACTGTCGTCTTCCTAAAGTTTCATGGATAGGGAGATTGTAATAAAGAAAATGTACTTCAAATGAATACACACTGACAAGGTGAAAGGGAAGAGATAAGAATGTTGAATTAGGAATCGGCAGCACAACACTTAGGACACCCCCATAAGTGCTCAGTCCCCATCTTCAGCAGCAAGCAAAGAGTTCCAATTCCGATGGTACCTATAATCGTCTGATTGTATATCCATCTCATCCTTCCCCTGAGTGTTGAGTGTCGGCCAGATCCCCTGGTAACTCCTGGCAGCCCCATTTCCTTAGACCATAAAGATAAGAACACATTTTAAGAAGGAAATGGAAACAGCACCAGTGATAACCATCAACAGGTTATAAAAGGGAGGGATTAAGAGGTGGCTCCATTTAGAGCTCTAGCTCTTAAAGACACATTGATTAAAAACCCAAGACTGAAAATACCCCATGAATGAAGGCTACACCAAAGCTAGATTGACTGGTACCTTTCCATCTTTCCAGAGAATAGTGTTATACTGTGCTATGAGGCATGGGACTCAGCCCATGGCGATGGTGAGTGTGACTAGCAAGACCCGCCTGCGTTAAGAAAAGTCTTCCACAAATATAGCATGTTGTGAAAATTTCTGTTTAGTCTGTTTCTTCTCAGACATTCAGCTCTCATTCTTACTTCAATCATTCCTTCTTTCACTCTCATCCCTTCCCCGATGGGCCCCCTCCACACAACACAGTCCACGGCATTATACACCACAGAAAATTTCAGATATCTCTAAAATGTGACACTGAAAGGCAAAATAGGGAAAGATGGCTGTTTGCTTGGTGAGTAGTGAGTGAGTTGATAGTCGAGGCTTCAACGTCACTGCACATGGGTAATTCTATAACTGCTTCATTCCTCAGTGAAAATCACACAAAATCTCCTTCACTGTCCCATTTGAAAAAAAAAAAACATTAGTCCCTGCAAAATTTAGAAGCTGTATTGAAGGTTGTTTGGTGAATACGCCAACAAGGCTGGGTCAATGCCAGAGCTATACTGGTCACAGAAAAAAAAAATGCAACTGCTAGGAAAAAAATGCAACGGCTAGATAGTGAATCCAGACCACTGTCTAGGTAGACGATACTGAACCCAGACCACTGTCTAGGTAGACAATACTTTATACTGAACCCAGACCACTGTTTAGGTAGACAATACTTTATACTGAACCCAGACCACTGTTTAGGTAGACAATACTTTATACTGAACCCAGACCACTGTTTAGGTAGACAATACTTTATACTGAACCCAGACCACTGTTTAGGTAGACAATACTTTATACTGAACCCAGAGCACTGTTTAGGTAGACAATACTTCATACTGAACCCAGACCACTGTTTAGGTAGATAATACTTTATACTGAACCCAGACCACTGTCTAGGTAGACAATACTTTATACTGAACCCAGACCACTGTCTAGGTAGACAATACTTTATACTGAACCCAGACCACTGTTTAGGTAGATAATACTTTATACTGAACCCAGACCACTGTTTAGGTAGATAATACTTTATACTGAACCCAGACCACTGTCTAAGTAGACAATACTTTATACTGAACCCAGACCACTGTCTAGGTAGAAAAGTATGTAAACTAGTAACTGCTTCCTGCTCTTCTAGCTGCCTTGACCCCAAACACATTGTGCTGTTGTAGAGTTTCTCTGATATTATCTTTGTATCTCGTTCTTAGTCTACCTTTTCCTCTTTTAGAGTACAGGGAGAGACAGAGCCATATAGGAAAAAACCAAGAGCAATAAAATCAATACTCTCAACTTTAACCTTTGACATTTTTTGTAGATGAATCTAGTGCATACATCCATTTACACCAGCGAGGATTCAGTACACATGCCTGCCCACACGCAAACTGTTACAGTTTGCTAGGGCGTATGCTGACAAAACCTGATGTATTGAACCATTTTCTCCTTGATAAGTTATGTTCCAGACGGAATGACGTCAGCTAATAAATATGAATGAGATATTTAAATGTAACAAGGGCAGAGCCATGAATAACGGACAAAATGCTGGCCAATTGAAACCCACGTGAATCGGAAAACACGAAAAAGTCGTAACTGTTATGTGGGCGCTAGAAGGTTATATAATGCTTTAGAGAGAGCGTGTGGTTAGTCTCGTTTGGGCCAAGAAACTGAGTGTATGAAGAATGGAGGAGTGTTTGTGGATCCAGAATGTGTCTGTCTGAATGTCATTTCAAACGCCCTACCTGGCCAAACAGCAAAGGATTGACGGGAACTTTGTCTGCCGGCTGAGTTGTGTTGTCGCCGACATGAAGAAAGTTATGTGTGCTAAAGTGTGACTTTGGAATGGGCGAATGTGTTTCGATAAGTGCAGGTAATGTTGACTGTTTGCATCGTTGTTTGTATCAACCTTAGATATCAAGTCCTAGAGCTGTCCTATTTTAAGTACCGGCTGAAGAAACAGCGAGTGGAAGAATAAAGTGTGACACCGCATTGTGTTGTTCGCTGTCGTCCATTTCTACTCGTGTTGATGTCGGGGTGTGAAAGTGTAGTCTGCAGTGACTAGAGCCAGAGTGATCAAGAAAAGAGTCATTGCACATGAGAACAATATAATTAGAATGTCTTTGCACCAGAACCATCAAGGGTGTAGAAATAAAGGCAGACCAAATAAAAAAACATTGAGGAGGGAACTAGAGAACAAAGTTTAAAAGATAGAGAGGAGATAGGGTGAGCTGCATGCAACAGCAAAGGACATAAAAAGAAGAATATTGTAGACGGATGAGAAAGAAAAGGAGTATGACTAGAGCTTAAAACTGCACAATACCATTTATTGACTATTTTAAATAACAACTCAACTTACATCCGGCCTTTCAATTGTTGTCAAACCTTCTCCGAATGCTTGAACTGTCTTTTTGCCCTGTTCCTCCAACCCAGATGGGCCTTTCACAGGTTTTGACCTCCTGGTTTCTGTACGCAACGTTTGAGGCTGTTGCTGTGGTATGCTGTGCTGCTGTAGGCTCTAAATGATACAGACTTAGACTTTCAGGAAAAGTAAACTTTGGCATAATTATGAAGCAACCATGAAATCTAAAGATATGATAATTAATTTTATTATCGATAATTCACTGATGGATAAGTCATGACAGAATCAATGTACAGCCAGTGTCTGGATCAAAAAGAGAAGCTAGGAAGAAAAACCAAGTCTGTCTTCTTCTTTTGCTGTCTCACTGATACCGGGCTGTACCCAGTGTTGTGGTTTTCTGTATTTGTCTTGTGCTTTCCAGGTGGCTTGTGAGATGGATCTGCTCAGCTTTTTGCAGGTTTTAGCTACACCATTTATCCACCTCATTTTTGGTCTTCCACTCACATTTCTCCCAGATGTTCTGCAGTAAAAAAGTCTCATATGCAGTTTGGTCCAGCTGCATTCACATTAAGATGGCCAAACCATTTCATTCTATGTCAATATAAATCAGACATGGTGTGAAAACTTTCTCTTTAATGCTGGTATTCTCTTCTTGAGCTGTTAGTGACCTTATGAAGGCAGATCATATCACAGGAACTTATTTGTTGTCCTAGCGCTCTACTCATTGCTGTTTGGCACTGATAGCATAAAGTAGGGATTAAGATGCCATTAATTATTTGCTGTTTCCAACCGTGTGGGTTCCTGGGACCCCATTGTGGAGGTGGGGAAGATAGGCCACTGCCACTAACAAGGTCAGAGTGCATGTGCCTGAGAGGCGAGGAATTAACAGTCTTCAAGTAAGCGAGATCTTTAAAACTCAGGTTTTTCCACAACAGTAAAGTCTACATTTCGGTGTCTAAATAGTATGGCTAGCTGGTTGGTGAAAGCATTTGTGTCCGGTACTCTATCTTTCATCTTTCTACTTTCTGCTATCTTCTGTTGGGACTGTCCAACCAATCACAAGCATATCTGCAAAGGGCTTTACATGAATAGATAATCTGAAATCTCAACAAACTGCTCACCCCCTTCTCGACTCTAGTCTTGTTCCAGAATCTCAGACTTGTGTGCACATCCTGTTTACAAATCTGGTCTACTTGTATGCAGACTGTTGGTTCCTCACATCTCAAGCTGATGCACTACAACTTCAAAGGAAACATCCCTAATTAGCAGACTCTCACTACACGTTTGTTGAGGGGCAGTGGGTTTGTTCTGTTCCCCCCGTCACATTGGGATTTTATCACTTTGAAGTAGGCACCTCTTCATGATGTTGCCTATCCACAGACTGAGTGTTCAGTCTGACCAAAGTTCCATCCAAGCATTGCCATGCCTCTACAGATGTGGTTCCAGAACTAGTTTTACACATCCCTGTTGTTTTCAAGTTTGAAGAGGGAAGGGAGAGTTCTGCAGCACACTCCTCATGGAGGTAGTACTCTGGTAAAGGGGACAGTCTATATTAGTGCTCTCCATCTGGTGGTCTGCAGACCCCCATGGATCAGTGGAAAAAACATAAAGAAGTCGTTCAAATCAAGAGTATGGTCACAGCAATGCAAAGATTAAACAGCATTAAAAGTCTATGGTTAGCAACAGCAAGGAAATTAAAGTCAGAATTTTGAGAGCATGCATCTTCCCTGTGGCAACATACGGATGTGAGTCATGGACTATCTCCCAGTCCTTAGAAAAGAAAATAAGGGCTTTTGAGCTGAAATTCTATAGAAAGATTCTTAGAATACCATGGACAAAGAAGAGAAGAAATACTGACTTTTTGAAAGATCTGAACGTCAAGGAAGATTGGCTAATAAACATTTTGGTCATATCAAGAACCACACTAAAAAAATTTTTTCAGTGTAATTAAAAATACAGTATTTTATAAAACTATTTTTAAAACAAAAAGCCAAGGATATTTTTGTTTTTGTGAACAGTCTACACATCTACAGTTACAAGTGTAACAAATAGGATAAAAATAGTTCTAGTTAATAATGCTTGTTTTGTTTTTTAAATGGGAAAAGGGGGGGGGGGGGGGGGGTGGCGCGGGCGGTCTTGCAGTAGTAACAGATAGACATCATTATTATCAGGGGCCTTGTCAACTGGCGTGAGCGATCATGCCTCTCCACAATCTGCGATCTCCTGCAAACAAGTATCAGTTCGTGTGCTGACACACCTCCATGCCATGCAACAAGACTGTCAAGAATCTTCTCTTGTTGTCTTCCTCTATCCCTCCTTCCACAGATCTCTTAAGTGGTCACAACATGATCTATTATCTCTCTTCTCATAACATGGCAGAAAAAATGATGACTGTCTCCTTCTGATGTCTGTGATAAGTTGTCTTCGGGCTCCCGCCTCTTTCAAAACCTTTTGGCTGCTCTTTTTGGCTGTCCAAGGTATTCTAAGCAGGGTTCATAGCCAAATTTACCAAACAATTTCAAGGCTTTTCAAGGTCTCTTTAGTTTTTATCAAGGTTGTCTCGGTGTAATACTGAAACAAGATTTTGGTCTTGTTCAAGGGTGTACCGAGCACACAATATACTTCATTCGTGCCACATGTGTTGGTATACCAGCACATATATCATCATCATCATGTAGCATTTCCTGGTCGGCCCCTGCCCTTGATAAAGTGTTTGACAATTTTGTTTTAGACTTGGTGGTAAAGGGCAGCAAACTAAAGTCCTGTCTGTTCTGGACCTGGTACCTAAAAGGTTAAGGAGGAGAGAGAGAGAGAGAGTCATACAGAGAGGGAGGAAGACACATGCTGAGGAAGGCTGGGAGAGACAGTGTAAAGATGGACAGATGAAGGTAGAGGAAAGAAGGAAAAGAAGTCTGGGGAAGGAGGAAAAAATGAGAGGGAGGGATGGAGACATGATGAGGGCAAGTGTTGAAGGGACAGCGAAAGACAGAGAGGGAGACAAATACAGAAAGAGGGAATGCAGATACAGAGATGGGCAGATGAAGAGAGAAGGAAGAAGGGAACGAAACAGAGATATAGGAGGAAAATATGACAAAGATAGTTGAAGGAAGGGAGACAGAGGGCGAGAGAGAGAACGGACAGGGAGAGAAGCAGATGCAAGCAGTGAGAATTGTAGACATAAAGGAGAGAGAGACAGGGGGACAGCATAGAGAGGCAAGCAGACAGAGGGAGAGAACTAAAGAAAGAGAAAAAAGGCAAAGCAGGAGAATGGGAGGGAGGTATACAAAGAGGAAGTGATGAAGGGAGGCAAACAGACATAAAGCAAGAGAGAGAGAGAGAGAGAGAGAGAGAGAGAGAGAGAGAGAGAGAGAGAGAGAGAGAGAGAGAGAGAGAGAGGTGGGTAAGGAAGACAAGATACATCAAAGAAAAAAAAAAACAGCCTCCTGCTGAAACCCCACCCCCACACAATTTCAAGTGTAGTGGACACAATCACAAGGAAAAGATAGTTATGGGGCAAAAAATGTATGTAGATGAACCAGGAAAAAAAATGGGGGGGGGGGGGGGGGTGAGAGAGGGGAGAGGGTAAGGAAATCTAGAGAAAATGAAAAGACAGGATGGAGAGGAAACAAAGAAGAGATGAGACAGGAGAAAGAGCAAGAGAGAAAAGAGCAAGAAAAGGAAGAGAGGAAGAATGGAGAGAGAAAGGAGAATAGTGGAAGATCAAAGGAAAGAGAAGGGGTGAGAGAAGAGAGGTAAGACACGGTTGTGTCTGTGTGGGAGGGAGAGGGGGGGGGGGGGGGATAAGAACACTGAGCGCCAAAAATAGAATTAGAAAATCTCTAAGTGAGGCCACTTTTCCGGTTCCTACCCTCTCCCAATGAGAATGTGGTCGTGGTCCATAAACAACAGTGTTAACCCCTACTGCCCCGTGCTTGTCCTATCTGCTGTGACAACAATAGTTCAATTTCTTACACTTAAGGCTGGTGACCTGAGAGCCAAGGTCATTTTATGAAGAAAAAAGTCCAGGGGATAACAACCCACCACTGGTGTAAAATAGAGCAGGTAACCCACACACACACAAATAGGTCAGGGCATCAGTGGACTTGTTTTATTTCTGGTTTTCCAATTACAGAAAGGAGGGGGAGAGAGGAGGTGGTGGAAGGTGTTGTAGAAGGCTGAGATGGTAAGGGTGAGACAGAGGAGGTGAGAGAATAACATTTAAGAAAATAAAGTGGGGATTGAGACAGGGAGAGAAAGAAGGGAGTAAGAAATAAGATGAGATATAGAGGGAAGAAGGTAGCAGGAAGGGGTGCACCCCCTCCCCTAGGTGTCATCAATGTGGGAGGAGAAAAGGGGGGTGGGGGTGACAGCAAATGTGTTTTTAAAAGTTCACATATATTTAATTTGTGTGTGAGGGAGGGGGAGTGATGGACATGAAATTTTCTGCACTAGGCAACACATAACCTTCTACGCCAACTGAAGGTACGGAGAAAGAGAGAGAGAGGGGAGAGGGGGGGGGGGGGGGGGGTTAGGGAGAGTGGAAAATACAAAGAGAAAGAGAGAGAGGAAGGCAGTGACAGACAGGCAGAGAGTGAGGAACAGGTAGGACAAAATGTGAGGGGGCAGAAAGAGAGATGGACAGAGATTAAGGCCGCTAAGAAAACAAACACATCAAAAGAAAATATCCACTATATTCACGCTGAACGAAAACCCCCCCCCCCCCCCCCCAACCATAATACAACTTCCTGTGTTCTTGAGTTGCTAGGAAAAGAGTTACGAAGCCGCACATTTACTAAACATTTAAACAAGAAATAAAATATGAAAAAAAGGGGAGGGGGGACAGGAAATGAGAGAGTAAAAGGAAAGATAAAGAGAAAGAGAAGAAGATGAAGATCAGAAGGGAGGGTTAGAGACAATGCAGGAGATGGGAAGGAAGGAGCAATATTTATAAATACAACCCAACCAAGCCCCACCATCTCCCAATGTAATCCTGTCTAGAGACCACGGCCATAAAACGATTTATACTATTAATTCTGCCGGACTCACTAGAAACAAAGGCACAAGCACACGCGAGACGGCAGCTGCAGCTGCTCCTTCCCGCCCCATGCCACGCCGCGCGCATGTATTCATGGGCTGTAACACAGCCTGCCCTTCCCCTGGCTTTTAACAAGCCATTTTGGCTGAAAATAGTAATACCTGAAACAACCATAAACAAAAGTAGCCAAAACTAGCCAAATGGCCAAAAAAAAAAAGCCAAATGGCCCCTAACTGCTGAAAATCACAGGACTTTTGACGATCTCTTTGCGGCGGTCAAAATTCACGGTTTCTCACAGTCAGAATGTCTTTATCACGGTCAAAATCACTGTTCCTTGTTGGATAAAAAAATTCCCGGTAAATTCAAGATTTCCCGGTCCACTACGAACCCTGTCTAAGCATTCTTCTGTAAAACCACATCTCTGAGGCCTCAAAAAATTGTTTGGCCTTCCTAGCGATTGTCCAGGATTCACAGCCATTTGTTAAAACTGGATGTATGTAGCAAGCAAGAATTCTCTTTCTAACTCTCAATGACGAAGATATATTGCATAAGATGTGCTGCATTTTATAAAATGCAGTTTTTGCCTGTCCTATTCTATTTCTTATCTCAGTTATGCATCTTCCATCTGATGTTATCCATGTGCCCAGATACTTAAATTTCTGTACTTGTCCCAAAATAACATACTGGCTGTAAAAGAATGATGCAAACAAGAGTTACATAATCAACGTGGACTGATCTGCACTAAGTATAATCATTACAAATTATAACATAGAATGTGTCAATAAACTATTTGCTGGCAGGATACTATCTGTGTTCAAGAGATGACCATCCGACAGACCTGTTCTCTCAAACTGCTGGCTACAACATCGCGCCTGATCACAGACTGAGATCTGATATGAGATGCTATCTGTAGAATGAAGAACAGCAATAGTTCAGTCTAACGCCATAAACAAATTTTATTTTTATTTTATAACTTATATCGGCGCCTGTTACTTAGACAATGAGAAGGAGCTTTGTAATGCCGGAGTGCGGGCTTAAATCCCAGCTTTGGGCGATTTGTCTTAAGTTGGTTTCGGCAGTGGTACTGACAAATTACTATTCCGAAAGCAATGGCAAACTACTGACATTAAATTTGCCTAGAAAAAGCACAACAGCCCAAAATGCTGAGGTTGGTTCTGCAACGTTGTGTAAAAGATACTAAAACTCACTTACAGCTTTTATCACCCCTGCTATTTTTATTTGTTTCATGACGGTAAACCAAAGTCAGTTTTTTTTAAGTCTGTTCATATTTTCATTGACTTCAGGAGAATGGCGATGCGAGGAGTTACCAGGGGATATGGCCGACGCTCAACACTCGGGGGAAGGATGAGATGGATATACAATCAGGTGGTTACTAGTACCATCGGAATGGAACTCTTTACTTGCTGCTGAAGATGGGGAATGAGCACTTATGGGAGTATCCCGAGTGCTGTGATGTCGATTCTCCATTTAACATTGACTGCATGACTGAAAGCCAAAGTAAATTTTTTGTGTCAGTGTGTAGCTTTATTTAATGTGGGTCTGTGGAATGTGTTTTCATAATTTTGTGGACAGCTTTTAAAAAAAAAAAGGAATTTCTGTGTGGCTTTATGGCGGTGGAACATGTTGCACCATGAAAAAGATTGATCACCGTGTAATCTTTTCAATGACAGTAGTGGGTGTACTGCAGAGATGACATACACATTTAATTACATATAAAGTTCTCTTACATCCAACTCTCGCCGTGCGGTTTCCGCAGCCTCATTTGGTTCAACTGTTTTAGTCCATTCAGAGTTGTAATTTTTTTCGTGAAGGAACACAGTTTTTGTGTCCGTTTATAGTTTTCTTTAGAATGTCTCTGTGGCTGAGATTAGAGAAGGAGTTTCACAATACCTTGTGTGGGTTCCAGGGCCCAACTGTGGGAGACTAAAAAAAGAATATACCCACTGCCTCCCTAACCAGCATATTGTATAAGACAACCAAGTATGGCTGTTTCCTTCAAAGGCAGAGTGCATCTGCCCAAGAAGCAAGGAATCAACAGTCTGCAAACAAATAAGCCAGATTTGTAAAATGGATGCGCACGGAACAAGACCAAAGTCCAGAAGTGGACAAACAACCAAAACTTTAGCCGGTGAATACCAAGAAAAAGAAGATATTCCATCTACAGAGTGTGTTTCTGTTCAATGCACCAACCAACTCATGCTTACTCAGGGGATGTATCGAGTTGGTCATGCACCAAATATCTGTTCCTGACGTGAGTCATCTGGAGGTGAGAGATTCGATTCCCAGTATGGTGACTATAGCTTTTGATTTTTATGTAGTCTAATGTGTCATATTATGAGAAGGAATGAACTCGCACATCTGGTAACAACTGGCAGGACTGCTGGAAAGACAGCAAGAGGAAGCCAAAGAGATAAAAACCTAGATGGTTAGGCCACATTGATGGCACGAGACAAGAATACTGACCTGATCAGTGTTTCTGGTGATCATGTGAGATGGCGAAACGTGACAGCTTACGATTACCGACATGGAACATGATGAACATGATGATGATGAGTGTGTCTTATCCCACCACTTGTTTATATAAGTGCCATTTAATACATGTCTATCTGTTTATTACCTCCTGTTTTTAAAGGGTTAAAAATTAGACACACAGTCTGTCATGTCATTCTGGCCTCCCTGCACAAGCATCTAGACCAGGGCTACACAAATGTAGCCGAAATCTGGCCCGCGGAAGCCTAGCAAGTGGCCCACAGATCACTGTCAGTTATATTGTATTAATGATCTTCCTATGCTGGAGCTAGGACCTCTGGCCCTTGACGATCAACATTTTTAACATTCTGGCCCCTGGGTCAACTTAGCTGAATAGCCAGGATGTAGATGATATTTTGGTAAACCCCACTAAACCAATATGAAATACTCTGACAGGCAAAGCACACTCACCTGGGTTAACACTTGCGACTTCAGCATGAAAAACCGTGTTACAGCCGCCTCGACATCTTCCAGAAATCTGCAATACAATTCACAATAAGCGATTTTAAAATATGATTCTGCCACAATTTATATAAAGGGGCTTCAAAAGAAATCCTTAAAGGTGTGATTAAGAGTTGCAATAATCATAAATAAATACAAAGGTGGGAAGGTCATCTATAAACTGTGCTCAACTGCACTCTTGACATCCTTAACAACAATACTGACAGGTTGTAAGACAATGGTGTGGTTACTGTAATTTCTATCACACTTTTAAGGTTTTTATTTTAAGCCCCCTTATACACTGGAGAAAACTTTGATAACATAACTATAATGTCACTGCATTGGAACCCACATGGCCAAAGAAATAAAGGGAGAATAAAAAATATGAGAAGAAGAGAACTACAAACTGAGGTGAAATGGGAGGGGGGGGAGGGAGTCATGGGGTGGGTTGCCCATGATGTAAAAGAATGACTGATAGCTAAACGGTAGAGGAAGTTTACTGAGATTATACAGGCCATCATAGTTTATATATGCTTGTATTTTATTTTTTATTTTTTAAATAAAGGTTGTAAGTAAAGTAAAGGACCCTCTTCCGTGCACTCAGGAATACTGACCATATTGGGCTTGACCTGTATTTTGTGGACCAATCAGCATTTGGTGGGTGATGTGGTCAGCATCACGCCGGCCGTCTTTTACTTTCCAGGACTGCACCTGGTACCCAAGGTCATTTATGAAGACACAAAAAAGCGCCTAGCTGTTACACCACGGCGTCTCCCTTTTAAAGGTAGCTGACAGACTGATTTCACAACTGACAGACTTATTTCACAAGTAACAGAAGAAGATATAGTTTATTTGTTGGTATCTGTCTGTCATTCAGGACGATAAGTATTCCAATGTGCTATGGGGAGGCATAGGAAGCGTAGCCCATGGTGATACACTCTGTAGCACAAAAGCCTGGGTAGTAATTAAGATTCCAGGTGTTGCCCATCCAGCATGATTCCTCCCTCTGCCTGCTTTGTTAACACCACAGGACAGGTAACACCAGTACATTTAGAACAAAGCATGCTGTAGAAACTGCCGCATAATAAAAGCAGTGCTCTGTCCACCTGAAATTAATCAATGTGTTGAATGTTGAATTAAGAATCAACATCACAGCACTCGGGACACCCTTATAAAGGCTCCGTCCCCATCTTGAGCAGCAAGTGAAGAGTTCCAATTTTGATGGTACCAGTTACTGTCTGACTGTATATCCGTCTCACCCTTCCCTTGAGCGCTGAGTTCAGCCAGACCCCCCCTGTAACTTCCTGCAGCTCTATTCTTCTCAGACCGTAATGATCTATTTGTGCCTTTATTAGTTTAAGATACTAAAAATAAACAAGAGTTATAATTCTTTTTTGCTACATTTATGCTGGCACCTTACCGTCTTCAGAGATCATAGTTTTATGTTTGTATTGTGCCACAGGAAGGCACAGGAACCAAAGCCCATGGCGATGGCGACGGCAATTAGTAAGATCTACTCGTATTTAGAAAAGTCCTCCACAACTGGAGTATGGGATTTAAGGTCTGTCGCTGCCATCACATAAATTTAGTGTGCTATTTCTCTGATGCGGCGTCCGTGGCTAAGGCGTTGCGAGTCTGACTCGTAAGCCAGCATACCGCGATCGAAACCCACTGCAGGCTGCGTGGATTTTTGTCGTGGTATGGGGCGTCGTAGGTCGACCCAGCCTAAAATGGGTACCAGGATGGGCTGTCCTGGGAAAGTAAAGACAGCCGGCGTAATGCTGACCACATTACCCTCAGAGTGCTGATGGTCTGTAAAAATATGGGACGCTCTGCCCATATGCCCGATGCGCCGAAAGGCGTGAAAAGGGAACTTTACTTTTTTTTTTTACTTTTATTTCTCTGATGTTCAGCTCTCAACCTTTTTCAATTACTTCCTTCTTTTAATTCCATTCCCTTCATAAGTTCCCCTCCACATTTACAGGCAAATGAAAAATACACATGTAGAGACAGAAGAGATGGTAAAAGAGATCACTTACTTTAAATACATCTTTTCATTTATTACAAACTCTAGTGTCCTCTTCATATCTAACATGTTCTCCTTGAGAAACTTGGCCGTATTCTCTGCATGATCACTCCTGAAAGAAAAAAAATACATTTTACTCCTAATACATCTGAAAAAAATATATATTATAAACAACATTCATCTATCTCCACTCTCTCAACTTCCATACAGATTTAACCTGAACAAGCATGCCGTAGGGCCGCAAATCTTGAAAAAAATTTCACTGTCCTATCGTGCCATTACATGTCAAACATGGCTTGCAGTCTATTTAATAATGCTGTTCAATCGTACGCAATCATTGCGATATCATGATTGGAATCCAGTCCACAGCTTTGGCTTCTCTTATCAATGTTCATTTTAGAGTTCTTCTGGACGTCGTTTCCTCAATTGCCCATTCCAGTGCATGTTTGGTATCCGTCCCAATATATGACGCAATTTTGTTTTGTTATTTTATAAACCCTGACTGTCGTCAGGGGCCCTAATAAACTTAATGGTTGAACAGGGTTTTTTGAGGCTAGTGTCTGGGGGATTCTTATCCAAATGGTTGCACTCTCCCACCAGGTGTTAATTGCTCGTTGTGCGGTCCAGGGGGACTGATGGCTATTCATAGGGTGATTGTCTGTCTGTCTCTTTTCAGAATGTTTTGAAAAATATCGGTCAAATAATTTCAAGAATTTTCTCAGAATGAAAGGATATGAAAGGAACTAGCCACCACACCCTGTCATGAAGGCTAAGTATGAGTGAAGTAGGAGGTTTCAAAACGGTATGACTTCAACTCTGGGATCACCCCACTGTGTGCTTGGCACTCCCATGAACAGTCTATCACAGAAATGATGCCTCTTTAAAACTTCCTATTCCATCCATACATCTGCTAAACCGACAGGTATGCATCATCATACTGGACCTTCATCCATCGATGAATTTCTACAGGCTTCACCCTTTCACTCATTTAAAAAAGAAAGGATAGCAGAACCCTGCTCCACATGCTTTATATTCTAGACATCCTTAACAACAATATGACAGGTTACAAGACAATGGCGTGGCTACTTGTCAAGGACCTGGTATCTATGCTACTCAACTACAGCTCGTTGTACGGCCCTGTTACAGACACACTATACCAGAACACACTTAAGCACACACCTATTGAGTACACACATAATCTTTAATGCACAAAGAGACTTTAAACCTAAAGTAACCTCAACAGTTAATCACAGTCCCTAATCCGAAACGCCAGTGGTAGCATTTATATTTACTTATCTACCCCGAGCCGTTCTCATGGATGTACCAGAAGACACTATTCCACCTCACTGTCGTACAGCGCTAACTAGGCTGCGGTCTTCGCCATACGAGACTCAGTGGCACACGCAGGGTGAGTGGTTCAAGTATTAGCAGGCAGTATCAACGCCAGCACAAAATGCAGCTTAACTCTAATAACCTAATAACCCAATAATAGACAAGAACAACTACTTACACACGACACAACACCAACACAACTGTCTTAGAATACTATAAGCTCACGAAGAGTACCATAAGCTAACCAACACATATGACGACAATGCTAACAGTCCCTATCTTTTAACTCCTAACACAATACAATCTATCACGTCTCTATACGTCTTCAGCATCACACGTCCATCTCCAACGCTCTTTTTCTCTCCCAGTTCAGCTTCGGGTAAAACGTGTATGTGGTACCAGTGTACAAGTTATAATGGGTTTTCCCCATATCGTCAATTCAGCTGGCTGACCGCTGGTGCACTTTTTGGTCCGTCAAACACAAACATGAAGTTACAAGTCGTATCGTGTTTATTCGGTCCCATACCCTTCTTACAGGGCTATGACACTACTGTAATTTCTATCACTCTTTTGAAATTATCGGAAAATTGGGGCACGTGGAGTTTGTCAGAACAAATTAAAAGTTTAATACAATTTCTAAAATGTTCAGCTACCTTGTAATGTGCTCCAAAAAGCCACCATATTCTACGACACACTGTCCAGGTGTTGACACATTTAGTTTATGTTTGTCTATATCCCCCTGACAAAAATAGCACCAGAACTTGTTGCCTGCCTGATCCCAGGTGATTTCTTTAATTGACGGCTTTTTCAAAAATGCTTTGGCTTCTGTGATCTAGAGAAATATGAAAGAAAAGATCACTGACACAGATCACAATCTAGTTGCAGTTATTGCTTTATACAAATGTGAAATAATAGGCTTTATTCACGTGCCTTTTTTGGCTGATTCTGCCTGTCCCTCTTCAGTTGTTGTTGTTGTTGTTATCGATCCAGCGGCACATGAGCTTTCGCCCTTTGGCCCAATGCCATGTAGTGGAATTTGCATGTTTTCACAAGCTGTTCTTTTCCTCGGTACAAGGTGTTCCACTTGTCTGGTCTCGGAGGGAGTAGCGTTCTTCTTGTCTCACTGAGTTTTGGGCACTCAAAGAGATGGTGTTCAACAGTTTCGTAGGGGTAGTTACATAGCTGGCACTCTGGTCCCTCTTCAGTATGTTCCCAGTATATTGCCATCGTCTTTGTTTTATAAATTTAAATAATAGTGGTTGTCCAGACATTTATCTTGTAAGTTCATCCTTCTAGAATTCGTCCCACTTGACGATATTTATAACATGTTCTAATTAAATCTAACAAGTAAAGAAGGCTATTATACATTAGATGGGCTTCAACCAAATAAACAAATTATATAGAGCACATTGGCCGGGACTGAAACAAATAAAAGCATATATTCCTCTTCTTCATGTTCACTAGCTGTAAACTCAGCAGAAGGTTCTGGTTGTTTATCCACTTTTGGATTTTAGTCTTTTTGCATAACTTGAGTTCTGCATGCACAGCCATTTTACAGTCTTGGCTTATTTGTAAACAGTCTGTTGATTCCTCACCTCTCCTCTAGATGCACTCCGACTTCAAAGGAAACAGCCATAATTACTCGACTTTTAGGACATGCTTGTTAAGGGGGCAGTAGGTCTTATTTCCCTCCTTCACCCCCTCAAATTGGGGCCTGGAACAACCAAACAGGGATAAAGGCATATCAAAATGGACTAATTTTACTATCATATATTCAAGCACTTTCTTATACATCCTCTTTTGCTTTTGCCCTTTATTCCTCAATAGCCTGACGATTCATCCTAATCTTATACTTTGATATGGTGTGCGGACTGCACCCTATTCCCTTTCCCACCTCAGTTTTTCATCTCATTCTCTCCCTTCCCCATTGTTCTGCTTATTTCTTCTTCTGCATTTATTCAAAAACGTAACTGTGTTGTACCCCGCTACAGCATGGCTGTAACTGTTGTGCTTTAGGTACTTTACTTTTAATTCATCCCAAACAAAGGAAATCTCAGAGTTCCCGGGAGAGTGCAATATTCTAAGGGTATTATGGGTTGGGATTGCATTAGTCGGTGCCTCTGAGGCTGTCGGGGTTGACACAGATGTTAAACCTATCCTGTAACACCCATATAATATAAGACTTTCCCTTCATTTTCAGGATTACCTTTGAGGTGAATTAAATATAAAATACAGTGTTTGTTGTCTGATCCAGCCTTTCCTATAGTACAGACACCACCTACATTCTTTCACAATACTAAGACAATTTGAATCATGGCTTGCTTACTTACCTTCTTTGAGAACTTTACTAGAATATTGGCAACAATTTCTTTGTGCTTCTTGGAATAAACATGCTTCTTTCCTTTGTTATGATTTAGTCGACAGAGAGGGCAGTATCTGAATGGAACAAATACGGTCTGGCTTGACATTCTCAATGGTGAGTGTCTCTCTCTCTTGTCTAGCAGCTTCCAGTGTCCTTTATTGAATTAACTTCTGGATATCTCCTGTTTACTATTGGAATATAACAGATATGTGAATTGAAAGATATTATCACATCACAGAAACAAATGTATTAAAATGAATACTAGGAACAAACAGAAATCAGACAATGAGACTTCCAGTCCAGTATGGAGGACTTGTCATGGTAGAATGCTTAGTTTTGAAGTTATTTTTGCTTTTGGCAGCACTTTGCTACTGCAGTTTCCACATATGGAAGGAAGTTTACGTTTTCGCTGCCTAAGCCACTGTTAAGTGCTTGGTGCAGCACTGTAAGCTCAAGGAGAGAAAAAAAAAAGGGGGGGGGGGGGGGGGGGGGGGGTTTTTTTAAACTTAGGATGCTTTTCATATGTCCAGGGGTTGACTCATGGTATTAAATATGTCCGGTAGCCTATTTATGTGGGTTGACAAAATATGCCATGTAATAATTGTATGTGTGTAAGGCTAACTCATGACCGACTACTTCCAAACTGCAGTTCTGGTGGCAACTGTTGGCATTTCTAGCAACGGCCTTAAATATTTATTGTGTGGGTATATTTCTGGATTTTATGCAGGGAAAGATTTTTTTTCATCAGTTTTTCAAATAGGAAGGTGAGGGACATTTCATTTGATTTTCTCAAGCGCAGTAACGGAACAAGTATGGGGTGACCCGATTGCAGTCAAGCTGAAACTTCGACTAAGACTACTTAAAACAGATAGAGATATAATATGAAGTACAATAAGGATATATCATGCCACCTAACCTTTTAAACATATTCAGAAAGCATTGGTTGAGCATTCGGGACACCCCATAAGCACCCTGTCCCCACCTTCAGCAGCAAGCGAAGAGTTAAAATTCTGATGGTACCAATAGCTGTCTGATTGTACATTCATCTCGCCTTTTCCCTGAGTGTCGAGCGTCGGCCAGTACCATTCTCCTCAGACCATAATGATCTATCTGTTCCTCAGCACTGCTCACTTGCTCCCAAAGGGCCCTCACAACATCCAGCTTGTCATACATCAGTTCACCACCAAGTGGTACAGAACCAGCCAATCTATCTGCCTGCTCATTTCCCAACACACCAGCACAACCTGGAGAAAATATCCAAAGGTTGCTAACTACCCGGGACCTTTGAAGTGATACTTGCCACTCTGCACGGAGCATGCCTGTCTTCAGCTTTCTCAACATGCTCTGTGAGTCAGTTACAATGACAGCATTTAAAAAGCCTAAGAGCTGCCTGGAATGAAGACTGATCAAAGAAGAATAAATCTAACCACAGCTCAGTAATCATAGCAGATATCTACTTCCCTTGTTTTTTAATTTTTTTAAAAGAAAAATAGTAAGTCAGCTAAACTCTAAAATAGCCAGTATCTATTTTATGTGGCCGTGTACTAAAACAATCAAAAGACAACAAACAGGCCATATGGTATAGGTATGTGTCAAGACAAAGCTGTCTTCTTGTGGAATTTACTGGATGGACAAGAATAATGTGAAAATCATGGGTGGACAAGAAGCACATTGTGAATATCATGGGTAGACAAGAAGCATATTGTGAATATCATGGGTGGACAAGAAGCATATTGTGAATATCATGGGTGGACAAGAAGCATATTGTGAATATCATGGGTGGACAAGAAGCATAATGTGAATATCATGGGTGGACAAGAAGCATATTGTGAATATCATGGGTGGACAGGAAGCATATTGTGAATATCATGGGTGGACAAGAAGAATATTGTTTAATATACTGGGTGGACAAGGACAATATTGTGAATATACTGGATGGAAAAGGACAATATTGTAAAAATCACGGGTGGACAAGGACAATATTGTAAAAATCATGGGTGGACAAGGACAATATTGTAAAAATCATGGGTGGACAAGGACAATATTGTAAAAATCATGGGTGGACAAGGACAATATTGTAAAAATCATGGGTGAACATTGATAATATTGTAAATATACTGGGTGGACAAGAAGAATAGGCTATCCTCGGAATAAGGGTCCTAAATTATTGAGGCGGAAAATATACTCTAACAGGGCCTCAGCAACGTGTTAACTGCGCACTTCCGGGGACTATAACGCCACCGTCGAATTGCGAACTTCCGCCACCGCCGAGAGTATAGCCCACGCGGCGCGGATTGGGGCTAAACTAGATGACTATGACTCACAAGCAAATAAAATGAAGGAAGCTGCAGGAGATGCGGTAGCTGCTGCTCGTGAGTCCCAGCCATCTAGTTTAGCCCCAATCCACGCGCGTGAGCGGTGGTGGAAGTCGCAATTTAAGACGGTGGAAGTGCGCAATTGACGTGTGACTGAGGCCCTGTTATGGTATATTTTCCGCCTCGATAAGTTAGGACCGTTATTCGGAGGATAGCCGAAAAATATTATGAATATACTGGGTGGACAAGAAGAATATTATGAATATACTGGGTGGACAAGAAGAATATGCTTGTTAAGTTTTCACTCCCTAATTATCAGCTGATTATGTGGACACATAATGGACATTTACCAGTTAAAATTTAAGTATAGTTTCTGTTTCCATCTTGTTCTCTCTGTTTGATTTGTTACACAATATTTTGAGCTGAAAATGGGACACCTAAGCTAGTCATCCACCCCCCACATTTCCTTTTTTAATGTCTTTCCTGAATATTTCACGACTTTTTCTTTACTTCCAATTGTTAATGAGTGCGACGAACTAGACAGCCTTTTCATTCCAGCATTCCTGCCTAGCCTTTACTTTGACTGCCTCAGAATGAGTGAGGTGACCTTCTCTCAGTCTCTCCAGTGAGAAACAATATTTTTTCGAGTTTTTTTAAAATACATATGAAAGCAAATATATCGCAACATGACGAGTGAACATAGAACTGCTTTTCTCCAATTTTAAAAAGAAAAAGAGAAAACGACTACGAACACCTCTTTAACTAACTAGAAATGTTTGTTTTGCGACACGACTAACTACTTTGCGGAAAATTTACAAAACATTGTAGTCAAAAACGGAAGAGCTGATTCTGGTGCCGTGTTTAACGTGATTGGTTTTATTCGTTTTTACTCTTAACTTTAAAGTTAAAATTGCGAGAGCATGCATCCTTCCTGTATTAACATACAGATATAATCGTAGACTATCTCCCAGTCCTTTAGGGAAAAACATGGGCTTTTGACCTTAAATGCTACAGAAAAATTCTCAGAATACAATGGAGAAAGAAAGAAAGATATACTGATATTCTGAAAGATCTGAACATCAAGTTTTGTATCTTCGTATCTCGTGCCAGCTGGATCGATGTCAAGACAATGGTCTGATAAACAGCATCTTGCTAATAAACAACATCTTGTCTCTAAAGCTGAAATATTTTTGCCACACAAAGAAGGCGCAGTTCCAGGAAGGAGGGGCAGGGACCGGCCAACACCAAGATGGGCACATAATTTAAGTGTCTTCTTGGATATGGTAGTGTACGAGGCAAGAAAGCTGGCGAGAGAGCGAGTTTCTTTCAGGCAGACCACGATGAGAGCTGTTTTTAAGACATTACAATTTAAGCATGATCGACAAGAAATAATTTATAAACAGCACATCCATCCCAACACTGGATATCACTGCCAAACTTGGACAGTATCAAAAGACTCATAAATGTAAAATTAACATCTGTGAAGCGAGATGCCCAAGGAAAGTTGCGAATATTTAAGACCAAATGAGAAATGATGCTATCAGATAGACTGTAGCAACAATACCTTGTACCAAGCTCGTTGAGAAGAAGAAGAAGAAAGTCAAATGGTTTCGTCATGTCGTAACAGGTACAAACATGACTTCGATTCGAACCAGCATGTGGGCGGAGTTTTATTAGTAACATAGATCCACCTTGCTGTGTGTAGCGGGAAATGTTATGAAATGTAAAGTTTGTCCCTAGCGGAAAGGGGAGGGGGGGAGGGCGTCATGGGTGGTGTAATGTTAATCATATAACACGTCAAGTGCCGGTTGACTCATAGAAATATGGCTCTTGGAGTGGCACTGTACTGATTTGCACTCACAGAAAGAAGTAGAAAGACAGTAGGACAGACTAGACAACATAAAAATCGAAATGTATAATTACCGTGCCAGTAATTGGACCTGTCACCTCCAAATGGTAGGGCCAGACCGTTCCGTCGATACTCAACGTCGATTTGGAACAATAGCTTTTTGTTGTTGTTGAGTATTGACGGAACGATCTAGGCTTACCTAAAAAACCGATACTGTCCCGATCAATGATATGGTCACCTTAAATCAGGACATTGCGCAATGATTTAAGGATACACTGGTTTGGTAACATTGAACCCAATTAAATTCTATGATTTATAGTTTAGGGATAGTTTAGGCTGGGTTGGGTAAGTAGGTAAGTGAAGGAGAATTGTCCACGCCCTCAGGCGTATTAAGCTTATAAGTCTAAACCTATTTTATAGAACAATCGACCATGTCTGGCGGTTCGTCGCTACATGTTTTATGTCCTGAGTGTTTACTAGGCCCATGATTGAGCCTTTCCTGATGGTGGTTCTATGCAGTTTCTCCTAGTCTTCTTCGTTTTCTTGATTCTTCCGGTGACAATATGAGGGCTTGTAACCGTTTCGAGAGCTTAATTATAACATCTTTGAAGCTTGAAGGGGTGTATCTGGGATCTGCTCTGTTGGTCTGTTACCCAGACTGAGAGGCTTAAATCTCAAGATTGTAAGGTAAATCTTTAAGTAGCAGTCCGGAGGAGACAACCGGATCGATCGATTGACCTGGGATACCAGATAGACAAGGAGAGGGGCAGAGGTTTTACTAAGTCATCATTCTTCAAGTCCAGGTCGAGTCCCAAGTCATTGATACTAAGTCCCAAGTTATTGTTACTTCTTCTTCTTCTTCTTCTTCTTCTTCTTCTTCTTCTTCTTCTTCTTCTTCTTCTTCTTCTTCTTCTTCTTCTTCTTCTTCTTCTTCTTCTTCTT